TGGGCCAGTTTACTCGGCGACGGTCTCCGGCGTGTGTGAAGGGACAGATACGTTGTGTCGACACAACACATAGCGCTATTTAGCAGTGATTCAAAGTTCTTCCAGGGTGTTGGGTTACATCCCACCTTCGCCTCAGTAATTTGTCGTCCATTTTTTCCAACCTCCCGCCCACCCTGGCGATGTGGTATGGCACCTCACGTTACGTGTGAGGTTGGCCCCATCACATTGGCCGAGGATCACACGTGTTTAGTGTCATCCTGCGGCCCACGATCCAACGCCGGGGAGGAAGGGAGCCGGATAAAAGATTTAATGGAAGCGCCGGGCGCTTAGCGCCCACTTGAAGTGGGCCACCTCAAGGCCTTTCCGGAGAAAGTCAAACGTTAAAGGAGCCCGACAGCGCCGACGGAATGTTATCTCGTGCTCCGGTGATATTGAGAGGTTCATCTGGTGCTGTCGCGATCTACATGGATGGATAGTTGCCGATACTGTGATACACGGCGAACAATCTACCCAGGCTTCCACTAGCCAGGAGTCTCACGAGAACGAAGTGGTCAGGGCGAAGTTCTGAAGGTTTCTTTGAAATTCTAGGTTTTCTGGCGCATAATGCCTATGGAAGTGAGTTGTCGTTCTATTCGGCGTGCATGGTGGCGGCGGTATCTGTCATGCATTCTTGACCTACACTCCAAGTACGGAATTCAATATGATGATCGTGGGGCCCAATCAGAGCGAGGTGAGCTCAGCCCGAAGCCTGGCGCGCCATTGATTGGCACATTGGATCGCTCTCTGCCAGTCCCTGTGTCCAGACTCTGGACTTCAGAGACTCTCTGGCAGAGAGTCTGGACACAGGGACTGTTATCACGCGCGATGCGAACTCGCGCATCGATGGGCTCTATCAAAGTTCCAATACTTTCCCTGCGAACAGGTTGGTAATGAGCAATATTGGCAATTTGCATTGCAAACTCTGCAATGATCTCACACTCAGTCGCTTCAACCGAAACATGTCAAAGGAGTCGGACGACTCGATTTGTTGTTTCGTGCCAACCGACTCTGACTTCCGGATGGAAGCTACCAGGCATCAGCGCGAACAGAACCCCAACGGCCTGTTATGATCGGTTTGTTCGCTTATGTGATGTACCCATAAGAGTCTCACGTGTCTTATGATAAGACGTCATGATGTAATGAAGAGGAAAACGGTGCCCTCACCGAGTCGCTCACAAAGGCCAAAGCTACCTGACTCCGGGTGTTACGAAACACCGTCGGAATCCCTAATTTCCTACACCATAGTGCGCGACAACATACCAGCTAAAACATTCACGTAAATGAACAACACGAACTCGGAAACCCCAATGGGAGGCAGTGTCTCCCATTGGGGTTTCCGAGACACCGTAGTAAATCAGTGGCACAGATACGTAGATATCATGGAGGGGATACGCCAACGAGTCACTCGACAAAGTGAAACACGCCAACGGCAGCTAACAATTCAAGATGAGATATTATCTCCAGACCTCGAGACATCTGAACTTCAGATAATCTGAAAATCCTCGTGGACGTTCAACTACACACCACAGATCAGTGTGTTCAAAACAGTTCACAGAATACCATGCAACAGGTGAAGGCTGGCCAACTGCCGCAAAACCTAGTAAGGATGCATCTGACACCCCAAGACTCTGTCCTCTCATCTGTGCCCCACGAATAGCATAAAAACAAGGGGCGATCTGTCTACGACAAGGTAGCATATATCCAGGTTCATCATAGAGGACTGTAGCCACTTCTGGTCTAGAACTAGCTTCCCAATTTGGGAAGCTGGTTCGACCGACGAGCTGCGCGAAACAAAACGCCTTCTGCCGCAGTTAGATGGCCGGGATAGCTCTGTTCTGGGACGCTTTCTCACACTCAACGGTGGCTTTTCGATACCCGGAGGGAGCAGTTCATCTGACGACAGTGATTTGTCAGATTCTGAGTATGGTGGAGGCCCTCCACTGGAGGGTGACGTGAAGACGCGGACATTGTCTTTCACAATCTTTCTGGGAAAAAGCATGAGTGGCTACCAAGCTTGGTGTCAAGCTGTCAGCTTCGTCAGTGACTCGTGGTCTCCGAGGCGTGTCCGACAACTCGTGGCTGGTGAAACCGTTTCCCTTCCCTAAGTGTTCCTACGAGACTCGTATATGAGTTTAGCCTCAGCCCAACGACCAGACAATGTCTCCCGCGAAGTCTATAGGCTTTATTCCTATGTACCAATGTTCGACCACCTGCAGCTGACGCAACACGACACTCAATAGGAATTTGCGAGGGGTATATAAAAATTACTGGAAAAAGGCTGTAACCGGGATTCGAACCTCAGTATGTGAATCGATAATTTCGATTCAATGTCGAGGCTCGATTCGACTCTCCAACTTTTAATCAAACAATTTTGGTGAGATTGACCAATCGACTCGAGATCAAGCCTCGAAAGTCGCAACTTTCAGGAGTTTGGTTCGTAGCAATGTTTACATTGTACCTTCCAAGTATCAGAGCGATCATCATTGATTTCAAGAAAAAACGCACATTTATCGCGATTGCATATCAAATTGGCACCCACTGTATATTCGCAGATATCAGCCCCCCTCCCAACGGCTTCTGAATTGTCTTTGCGAAGACTTTTCAAGCGCCCACCACTGGTAACAAACGTCGCAGATCGAGTCTATTTTACTGTCAATCGTTCGCGTGGTGCTAGACATGTTCATCAACACGATCGCTCGTGGACGCTTGCAAGACTCCTGCCGTCGCTTCATTATCGGCAACTGCTTCAACTCCAAGCGGCGAATCGTCGCAGATGATCTCCTCTTCTGATACTGCACGTGCAAACGAAGATGGACGAGATCATCCAGCGATCGACGCGCCCACCATCGCCATCTTGATCTCCATTAGAAGCTCCTTCCTCCGCTTCTTCCCACTGTTGCAGCGCCAGATGTACCCACTCGTCTTTCTCTCGATTGAGGTTACCCAGCATCTCTCGATCTCTACGTGTCATTTGATTGACATTCTAACACTCATAATGCAGAGTCCTCATCGGAATGACTCTCACAGCGGGGTCATATTTCTCCCATTCCTCATCGCCGACAGCACCATCCTCCACCCTCTCTCGCTCCGCCTGAGACACAGTCTAAGGCAACGTATTAACGGCAGCTGAAGAGGACCACCTCGGCCTTCTTCCGTCGTTCTTTTTTATCGGACGGCTCAACGATAGGGTCCGCTATAGGTAGATCGAGCTCGACACCCTGAAGGCGAATGAACGTCGGCTCGACTACGGAAGGTTCACCTTTCTCGAGTGAAGATAATTGTTAATCAGCGATCCCTGGGAGGTTAACAGCAGCTGTTCTGCACGAGCACGGATCCTGAGCAATACCCAGTCTCACTGGAAGACAATAGTGCACCGATAAGACAACTCATCCACACACAAGCATCGATCCAGCTTTATCAGAGCTCGGAGAAGAGGACCCGTTTAGGTGACTATAATATGCTATTTGGAACGGTATTGGTAACCAACAATAGCTGTTGCTCAATGCAGAGTAACTCACACGAACTCCTCGAACTGGTTGGGATACATGACCGTCTTCAAATGGTCTGTCCTTATGTCATCCATTTCCCTTCTCCCATGGATAGTTTCTCGCTGTGAAAACAATATCGCTGTTAATAACTCAGAATCGTTCACAATGACCTCAAGTTGCCGATAGCAACAACGTACCCGTTGTACGATGGTGTTTCGTTGCTCCTGTGCGAGCTTGTGCAGTCGCCGTAGTTCAATCTTCTCCTTCTCCCCATCGCACTCATAGTTGGCCCGCTTAAGTTCTTCAATCTGCTCATCCAGCCATTCTGAGTGACTGTCTTTATCCAGTGTTATGGATAGCGGAGCCTCACTGTCATTGAGTGAATGGGCAGTCTCAGAGGCAGCAGCAGCAGCAAGCTTGTGTGTTATCCAGTTATATTTCTCTGCTTCAAGACGGTCCATCGGCTGTCCAGGTCGCGCACAAAAGTGGACGTTCATAAAAGTTCGCCACCTTACTGAGTCACTGTTAGAGAGCTCGCGCAGGAGAATGCGTCTCTCGAATTCCTCTTGTCGTGCATAGAGATCGTAGAGACTATCAGGGATGGGTCGGAGATCATCATCATCATTCTCCTCCTCGTTGGAGACCTAGTTGATGGCCTCGTTGAAGTGCAAATACTGGTAGCCTTACGTACCCTAATCCCGTATCTTTTCTCGATGTCCTTTATCCTTTGACGAGATGCACTCAACTCTTGTGCAAGTTTGGTCATTTCCTCTGAAAAATTGAATCGTGAAGCTAATCACACGCTGTAGCACATGTACAGGAATCTTCTGATGAACACCTGTTCACCATGCTCAGGTAAATACTCGTCAAGCGTGGAGTCCTCAGCGCATCCAGAGGGCTGCGGACCCACCCTCCTGTTCCTCCTTCTCCTGCTTAATTCTCGCTACTTCCAAGGACAAATCGCTTATCTCGCCAACAGGTAACACACTGCACGATGACTGATGGCTTAGGTATCAAGGACAAGTAACCTACTCCCGAGACGTGACGAAGGTCTCCTCCGCCTCCCTCTTCACGGATTCCACCTCTTCGATGAACCCCTTGGCCTGGTCATTGAGTGGAATCACACCCGGCTTGAGGAGCTTTTACTATCACTTTTAGTAAAGCCTCTAACCTCTTTGTTCTTAGCTCGAGCCTAGCAAGGTCAATAGCCGACCTCGATGAGTCCCTTCTTCTCGCTAGAGCGTCTGATCAGGACCTATCCAGGTGACCGCGCGCCACAACACTCTCATTAGACGCTGGCATGTCAGTTGGTGCAGTAAAAGGACCATTAGACTTCTACCCTATCGGATAGAAGGAATCCAAGCTGGTCCAATCTCGAGATATTATGAGTGATCAACACATACCAACGATTCTGTATTGCTATAGTATAAGGGGCACTGGAGCGCCAATACCACACTTTTCACAACTTACGATAAGAAGCTTCTAACGATCTCTCCAACTCCTCCAATTGGGCATGTAAACAGCGATGAGGGCTGATGGAGGCCACCTGAGGGCACCACCATGAATGCTGAGCGCTGAATAGATCACTAACCATGAGCCTAAGGCGGCACAGTGTTGGCTGCCAACGGCAACTTGAAAGTGAGTTGATGCTTGGCGCGCGCGATTGACTTGAGACTCGCGGAAGCCATTGTAATCGATCTAACAGTCGGGGTTTCATTCAAGTCTCTCGTTGCATTGCGTGGCAGCACTCAGGGAGGTAGATAGTTTTTCTGAGATTGATTGAGCAACAAGGCGGGTGTGAAGTCTGGGAACCAATCCTTGTGAGGCGTTGCGGACTCTGGTACTCGCTCGTACGCGGAACGTATTTGACTCATCCGTTACGCGGATATATCGGTAATATATTCAAATTCTCCTCTCCTGCCCCTGCCTGAGACCGGGTTGGTTGCTCTTTTCTCTCGCTGCGTGCCCTGGAGCCGTTCAGGGTCTTCGAGATTTACAAGCTCATAATTATAACACGATACACCTTGCAACTGGAGACCAATGCAACCAAACCACTGTTGATCTTTGATCACCTTCGTGCTATTCATGAGAGATGTAACGGGTGGGCCTTTCAATGACAAGCGTCCCACACCAAAGCCGCGCGTTTCCGGCACCCCAGTGGCTTTAAGCGGGCGGGGAAAGTCTGCTTGTGATACCGGGTACGGCGGGGAACATGTCCAGTCCAGCAGTATGTGGGACATTTTCACAACAGGAGGAGAATGACGATACCAGTACACGAGCGAGGCGCAATACATCTTATGTGCTTCCTTAAGACATGTGTCAGCATCTACAGAATTTCATACACGTTTAATTTTCTCGGTGTTGCTGTTTTACAGGATGCCAAGATCGCGGCTGTGAGTTGTGTAAAGCCGGTGAAACTTATTGAGTGGTTTTTGTGACTCATGCTAATTACAAAGCGTTTCTCAAACACCCATCGTGGTGTTGTCAATTGTAGTACTTTAGTACGAACCATCAGTAGAAGCTCACCAGGCGAACAGTCACCAACCCGAAAGATCGAAACTTTGAAATGCTGGCGGGCCATCTCGCCGAAATTATCATGGAAACTCGAGTACAACGGAGGGATCAAAAAGGCAACTCTTCCAGTTAGTATCGGCTCATTGTTGCGGATTACTGAATGTTCAGCATCAGCAAAAAGTCGTCAAAGTCAACTGAGAGTGGCGGAAATTTATCATCATGTGAGTCAACCAAGGCTTCTTTCGCGACATCCTCCGTCATGTTATTCTACCACTAGCTCTCTGATAGCTCTCGTAGTTTGTCGAAAGATGGTTACCGTTTGAGCGGGAACTTCCTTGATCGTGGTCTTCCGTGATTCGAGGCCCGCAATGCGATATTGACGGGGATGGACTCCTTTTCAGTGAAGAGTAACAGTATCGTAGAGGACTCGCCAACTGCAACGGATAATGTGACTGACACCCACGCAATTTTGTGGCGCAGTGACGCTGTTTATCAGGGTCGCGTAGCTCGTTTGAAGAACCTCCTGGAAGGGAAGAAGCTGACTGTTCGGTCATTCAACTTGAAGGATACCGTTGGAACTGGTGAGCTCGGCTCGAAACTCTAAAGGTTGGGAAATGGGCGGCCTCAGGCTCGTTTGGTAGAGTCAGGGTGGTGAAACTGAAAGGGTCCGAAGATCAGTCCCCAATGGCCTTAAAAATGCTCAAAAAATCTGAGGTCATTCGGTTGAAACAAGTGAGTTTCACGCGCCATGAGATTGCCATGGACAAGAGCTCTCAGGTGGAGCATGTCAAAGCCGAGAAGAATATCCTGTCGATAATCGATCACCCTTACATCGTCAATCTGTGAGTTTCAACCGAATCCTGAGGAGTCGACCTTAAATGCGCCTTCCATACTCTTGCTGTTTCCGATCATCTCAATCACGTTTTCATTTCCAGGTTGATCTCCTTCCAGGACGAGAGGCGTTTGTATATGGTCATGGAGTATGTCAATGGTGGGGAGCTCTTCTCCTACCTTCGAAAGGAAGGCCGCCTTTCCAACGACCATGCTAAGTTTTACACAACGGAGATTATATTGGCATTCCAATATTTGCATGGTGTGACCTCGCCAAGAGTCGAACCTACGCCCTACCGTGTCTTGCTCCAGATCGTAACATCGCGTACAGGGACTTGAAGCCGGAGAACTTGCTGATTGACCCTTACGGTGAGACGTTTACCATGTGGCGATTTCGACTCGGCTCAGGGCATGTCAAAGTGACCGACTTCGGCTTTGCCAAGATTGTTGATGATCGAACGTGGACGCTTTGTGGCACCCCTGAATACTTGGCACCAGAGATCATACAGTCGAAAGGTGACGACCATAATGTTATCGTCTGCCCACTATAAGTGGTCGTATCAGGTCACAGCAAGGGTGTTGACTGGTGGGCTCTAGGTGTGCTCATATTTGAGATGCTTGCCGGTTACCCTCCCTTCTACCACGGAAGCGCCTTCGGGATTTATCAAAAGGTTAGTCACTGCTGAACTACTCGATTTGAGTGGTGTCATTTGCAGATTCTCGCAGGGAAGGTCGACTTTCCTCGATATTTCGATGTTAACAGTAAGGACCTCATCAAGCGGCTGCTCACACAAGACCTTTCCAAGCGGTATGGTTGTCTCAAGAACGGTGCCGAGGATATCAAAAAGCACAAATGGTAGGAAATCTTCCGGTTGGATGTCTCCTGCAGCTCATACTAGGTTTAAAGGTGTCGATTGGGCCAAAGTATTCACACGAGAGTTACCACCCCCTTATGTACCGAAAGTGAGAGGGGAGGATGATACATCTATGTTCGACAAGTGAGCTACGTTGCTTGTGTGATTTGACGGACGTGCGGTATGCCGATAGATACCCTGCATCAGCAGAAGGATCAACACCAAGCATCAGTGATAGAGACCAAGTGCTATTCGAACTATTCTGAGAACATTGTTGATGATATTACAGTTGCAATGGATATGAGCTGTACATATCGTCTTCTCATGGTATCTTGATATGGAAGATACTCATCGGTGTTCGAAACACATTATGGCTTGAATTGCAGTATAGTGCGCGGGGTTGGTTCAAGGGAACACTTACGATCCCTGGAGATACTCGTATCCTTGCAACTTAGTATTATCTATAACTAGGCCTTCGTGACGAAGGGGCGGAGTTCACTTAGTCCACGTCTATTGATTAGATCAATGAATTTGACCTAGGTCCCCGGTTCGATTCCCGGGTAGTCTACCCGGGGTAGAACATGTTTCCGTCATTGAAGTTTTTCGTGCATGTCTTTTCGAGCTGTTCGTATAACCGAGTTTTCTGATTTTTGCATACACAGCATTTAGAGGAGTCGTTTGATCTATCTGGCAGTCTCCGACGCTCGGCAATCAAGCCAGATTAATTCTGCACGCACGCACGACGCGAAAGTGCCTGTTATTGCGGTATTATACCGCCGGTATATGCTCCGCTCGCTTCCCTCGCTCCGCAATTACTTGTTATTATAGTTATTAATTATAGTAACACTACTGCGAGAGCAACTTGAAACGTCTGAAAATCACGGTTAGAGCAAGTTGACAGTATTGCTGTTTGCAGCGATTTGCGAATCATTCTGCAGCGTCCCGATCATCCCCAATCTGACAGCAATCAACTATCGCGACTCACAGATTAATTTCCGAGAGGAGAAGAACAAATCAGAGCATGTGTTTCATTCTTTGCAAACTCCGAACGCCTCTCTGTTGCTTACTTCCTCGCTACGACTACTGTGCTTGTCGGTCCTCGAGTCGGCCTCCTCCAATTCAACGATGTTGTAAGTACCGTTCTTCCCCAGCCACGAAGATTGTATCCTTCGCCACAGACTATCATGACAAGGGTCTGAGGGCTCCTCGACCAACAGCGAATCAGTCTGTCGAGCATTTGGTATCAAGAGCCGTACCAAAACCAACGGCACCAGTGGTGCGATACACGATAACAGACTGGCCTCCCAAAGGCGAGAAAACTTAGATCCCTCGTTCGGAGACCCATCAGGCGTGACCCCGAGATGATCGAGAATCACAGCGCCAAAGTAGCCAGCTAAATTAGCACTGAGATTACTCGCCCCAGCGAGCAAAGCGTACATGGTAGATTCCAAACCGCTAGGGCAACTTTGACTGAGCAAAACAATGGCAGGCATCCAATTGAACTCACCGAGTATGATACCAAGAGCCGAAGAGGAGATAACAAAGATTCTATCAGAAATTCCGAGGTGGGTAATGTTGAATCGAGTGTAGACGACAATGTTGAGCAGACCAACAGTAGAGCACAAGATACTGGAGAACGAGAAGATCCATGGGTAGCGCCAATGTTTCATATAACGATTATAGATGTACATCCCCCCTAGGCTGCAGATAGATGCGACAATCCCTGAGGAGAATATCATATCATACTATACTCCAACGGCAGAACTGTGTATGAGCATGGGCTCGACTCACCAAGGGCTGTCGTGTAGAAGACTGTGTCAAAATGAGGGCCCTCAGGATACTGTTCGGGAGTGTCTGTGAAGAAGTAGAAGGAAGCACCATGGGTCCCAAAGTGCATCTAAATGTTGGTTTTATGGCAGTGTCAGGGCGGAGGGACCCAGACTTTGTTACACAATTTTGTATGAACATGAAGAGGTTTTGCTTGGCTATTAGAGGCCGCGTCAACAAAGTAAATAACGATACAACGACGAGGCCAAGGATGCCGGCGGCGAGACATTTGCGCTGTAACTGAAACATCACGCAGAATGCCGCTGTGCGGTATGCTTCCCTCCCACACCGCTGTCACAGGGCTACCACCGCGCAGAGCGATGCAAAGATTATCTTCTACTTGAGCTCATCTACCCAAAGTCGAGAAACTAAGATCCAATTGCACAATCTCACCTGTCTTTCAATGATGGAGTAAATCGCCAAGAAGATACCGCCGACACCGATTACGAGTGACAAACACGTCATCTCCCAGAAAACAAGTTTTCTACTTCCATCAGGTTCATTCCGAGCGGAGCGAGGTTCTCCCAGTAGATTGAAGACGATTACGGGCAAGAGTAGTGCTGCGAACGGCATCGCCAACCAATAGACCGAGAATGGACCGATGGTGTCTATAAGAGGTCCAACCAGTAATACGCTGAATGTTCGAAATACTGATATGCCGACCCATACGAAAGTGATCAAGTCGGGGCCGCATCTAGGGCACTCCTTCAATTTCGCAGCGTACATACCCTCTGACAGAAGATCACATATCGAGCACTGCAAAAAGATGCAGAAATAGCAGACTAAGGCAACAGCAAGTATCACCGGCCTTATAGCAAGAAGAAGCATTGCAAGCAGGGCTATAATTGTCGATATGAACATATAGGGTAGTTTATGGAAAGCGAATAGAGGCAGACGGTCACTGAGGAGGCCAATAAGAGGCTTGATGCTCCAAGGGATGTTAATGGCACTCCGGTATACCTGGAAGGATAATTGACAATTTGGGGGGAATAACGGTGATTATAGTAAGGTACGAAGTGTGCGATATGGCATAGGCGTCCCAGCTATCGGCAAAGGCGCCACAACGGTTGGCATAGCTGCCCCAAGTATAGGTCACGGTATAGTGCCTTGAGGATTGCCATATATGGCCTAACGATTGGCATAGCCGTCTCGAAGATTGGCCTAGCCGCCCCGAAGATTGGCCTCGGTACCCCAACGACTGGCATAGGCGCTCCGGCAATTGGCATGAGCGCCCCAAAGATTGACGTCGGTACCCCAACGACTGGCATAGGCGCTCCGGCAATTGGCATGAGCGCCCCAAAGATTGACGTCGGTACCCCCAACGACTGGCATAGGCGCTCCGGCAATTGGCATGAGCGCCCCAAAGATTGACGTCGGTCCCCCAACGACTGGCATAGGCGCTCCGGCAATTGGCATGAGCGCCCCAAAGATTGACGTCGGTACCCCCAACGACTGGCATAGGCGCTCCGGCAATTGGCATGAGCGCCCCAAATATTGACGCCGGCGCCCCAACGACTGGCATAGGCATCTTAACGATTGATATTAGCGGCGGCGCCCTCAGGATAGCAGCCGTGGTGACAGCGGGAGGGATACACAATCCGAATTTATCGTGTAATTGTGCGCATCGCCAATATGATATGCAACTGCGATCATAGCTACATCATGCCTCAAGCTTACTCATAACGCTATAAGGATCATAAGCATAGGCCTCATGCTCAGCATTGCCATGCTCCTTTTGGCGATACTTCGATAAGCATGAACGAGGAATTTTACCGACATTCTCGATCTATGAACAGCTAATGCTATTCGGATGAGATTATGCTAGAGCGGCGACGTTCGCGGAAACAAGACAGATCGCATTACCTCACCCTCTTACCTGCAAATCTGTGCCGGACACCTTGTACTCACGCAGGACGAAATCAATAGGCGTTCCGGCCAAACCACCGTCTCCTCCGCCGCATACGAAGCCTTTCAGTATGTGTTGTATTATATGCAACCCTATGAGGAAACTACAGCCGAAAATGGTACGCAGTCTATAGAAATAAGGCTGCTCCTCTGCAGCGGACTCGGTCATGCGAGACGGGAAGACTGAGACTGAAGCCATTGAGTGGATACTGAGTTGCATGCTAATTCCTAGGGTAGGTCTCAAGATCTGACTCGAGGCGAGAGCACATTCAATGGTAAGTTGCTCACACGTCCACAGTGTTCAAAGAAGCGCGATATGGTACAAGCTGTAGTGAGTGAATGAAAACGTCTGATGACACTAACTCAACACATCCAGCCTGGATCATGATCCAGGTGATGGTGGAGGCTTGAGTATGCAGACGAGGTATATTCCGAATGGTTTACTCGGAATGAGTGATAATGCTACCAGATCAGGAGAACATCAGTGTCTCATGTCATCGTCTTCGGATTCCGATATTAAACAGGTGCATCTTGTCCGAAAAAAAATTGACGGCAACGGTTCCAGCTAACGACTGCTCCCCAACAACCATGGCGGTGGAGAATTGAGCAGTCGAATAACGGTCCCGAAAGGCTCGGAATCTCAATTCTACAGCATTTCCAGGTCAAATTAACTTTTAACCAACAAGTTTAATTGTTTGCCTACTCGTCTAATGTTTTACCTTTATCGTTAACATTGTACTCGGGGTTCCAATCGAATACCCAAAAAGATTAATGTTATACCCATTTTATTTGAAAGTTGAAGAGTCTAGTTTAAGCAATGGATGCCACTACCACCATGTAAGTCCGACCAACACCAAGGGCCTCCAAACTAGTGACCCTCGGATGGTAATGTGTTGCTATTTCCAACAAACCGACTAGGAACAACCAGGGAATTGCGATAGTTGATAAACGCAACAAATGATGTACTTTCTCGTAAGAATATCCTTCTGAGATGATGATGATGATGACAATCTATGGATACTAGCTCATGGCAGGGTATCTTTTCGTTCTACAATTACACAATAGTTGTGATGACTTCAATAATAACAGTAAAGCAATTCTCCAACAGCAACAACAAGCCACGCCGAAAACAACAGTAACGTCTTAGTCGCCACGAGCAACGTCTGTGACAGCGCTGACTCCAGCTCGTTGGGCGGGGCCAATGATAGTGTTAGTCTACACGATCTCGATGAGTAACCAGATGACTATATGATGACTTGAATCATATGTAGGATGAGAGATGGTAGGTGACTAGATCCAGAATGGGCTTGGTCTTTCCGATAAGTCCCTCATGAGGACCTCGTCTGGTATAGTCGCTGTGTACTTCCTAGCAGGATGTTCACCACCATGTACTATTCTCATATACAACTCCTCGGCTCTCTGTCGTCGTACTTCTCCTTCTCCATCATGCTCCTCAGGATCCGAGTCCACAGCAGGATCCTCAGCAAAGGACGAGCCCACGCTTCCTGTAGTGAAATAATCAGTATTGGTGGATCGCTTCGCTCCGCCTTCTGCTGTGTCAGCAGACTCCTCCCGTACGGCAGTGAGCATCTCGCCAGCCAGACAAGTCACCTGTGAGTACACATACAATAATGAATACCATCAACGCCACGACTTCTACACCAGAAACCCGATGCCTCCCTCACTAGCCTACCTCGTTGCTTCCTCCGGCAGCCTGTCGAAACTCAGCGTCATCCATCTCAGCAAGGCACTCCAATACCTGGTACGAATCAATACTCCCAACTCAAGCGTCTACTCGATAACTCCGCTAACCCCCTGCGAGATCCTCTATATCCACATACCGGATATTATCATCTATATATCCCGACCATACATACCCAACTATTCTGCTGATAAGATTCATCCCAGGGATCCAAGCCGTATGCTAAACTCATCAAACATGGTTTCCATACATAATCAAAAATGCCGCGTATGTGAGGAGGCTGTAACGATCATTGCGAGAACTACATACGATCATGCCGAGATCACACCACTACATGAGACCCTCAATGAGCCCATTACCTTTCCTGCCACCATAGGAGAGGGTCTACCCCCTCCTGGAGAAGTGAGTCGAGGCATCAGCCAGTCGAGTAAGCCTAGGGAGTTCTCCAATGAAAGTAATTTCGAGGAGCCCTCGAGCTTTCCACCATTCACAGTCAATAGCTGTGGAACTTCCATATTGCAAAGGACGATGAAGACCTGTGCCGCAGTATCAGCATCAAGAGCATGAGGTATATGGAGGGTCCTGAGAAAAAATGCAAATCCCGCGACGCTTCGCTCCGCCTTATACTCTTACCTTGACTTGAGCTCGATAATGAGTGGCAATAAATCGTCAGCTTGATAATATTCATTTTCGCAACAAGCAGTGACAATTGAAGCCAATTGTTGGGTCTTCAGTTTACCTGTCAATAACAATCCATCATCACATATCAGATTCCAATTGAGGAACCATGACCACGTACACTACGGTAGTATTACTACCTATCAATGATCCTCCACTACTCTCTCTCGCTGCCCTCATAACTAGCCGTAAAGGGCCTCGCATAGCAGCTATACTATCAATGACCGACACCCAATCGGAAGGAGTTAGTTCGGCTCTTTTCTCCAAGACCGAGTTGGCCAACAGATCAGCGACATCCGAGTGCTTAGCCCCTGAATGTGAATACAAGTATAACGAATGCTTCCATCGAAAATGACCTGCTTATTACCTCGTTTGGCATACACTTGTAAAGTAGTAACCAAATCGATGCTCTTGAAAGTCGACACTGCTCGAGGTAGATGGGATGATACCCTCGACAGGAGCAAGTCCATGAGCTCATCTCTATCCGGAGAGGTGGCACATAGATTAGAGAACGATCGCAAGAATAGAACCTGAAAATCATCAGGTCTGTCGATGTGATTGACTGAATATTCAGTGCGGTGCGGTATTGAAATAGCATATCATGGTATTCGAACCATCACCATATGTGGCGAACAGTCACGCGCTACAAAAAGCCATCCATAATATTACCAAACTTTCCGCCGAGAACTGAGCAATCCTTCTCTTCGCCTGTGCCCCCATCGCCCTCAACAAATGAGAATCAAAAGGTTTCCTTTCCTCCAACGGGGTATGATGTCGATGCCTATCGAAGCCCGTCGCCAACATTTGCAATTCTCGTGCCGTGCAGTCTCGAAGTACCACTAAGGGGCCACAACAGTAGAGATATACTCACAGATACAACAGGAGAGGCATTCACAGCACACAGAATGCGAAATGGGAATTTATCACACATCGGAGGAATATCAAAGACTCTTTATCAGATATCAGAGGAATATCAAAGACTCTTTATCAGATATAAGAGGAATATCAAAGACTCTTTATCAGATATAAGAGGAATGTCAAAGACTCTTTATCAGATATCAGAGGAATGTCAAAGACTCTTTATCAGATATAAGAGGAATGTCAAAGACTCTTTATCAGATATCAGAGGAATATCAAAGACTCTTTATCAGATATAAGAGGAATATCAAAGACTCTTTATCAGATATAAGAGGAATGTCAAAGACTCTTTATCAGATATCAGAGGAATATCAAAGACTCTTTATCAGATATAAGAGGAATATCAAAGACTCTTTATCAGATATCAGAGGAATGTCAAAGACTCTTTATCAAATATCGGAGGAATATCAAAGACTCTTTATCAGATATAAGAGGATGTCAAAATGCAAGCAGCGTTCGCCCTCCCATTGATATAAGAGGAATGTCAAAGACTCTTTATCAGATATCAGAGGAATGTCGTCATGATGCCTTCCAGCAGCAGCAGCCGACGGCGGCGGCGGCGGCGGCGGCGCTTTATCAGATGTGCTGTTGTGTTGAATCAATGCCTTCCAACTTCCCAAAGGATATAAGAGCAAGAGCTACATCACGAGCGCTTTATCAGATATAAGAGGAATGTCAAAGACTCTAACGGATCAGATATAAGAGGAATGTCAAAGACTCTTTATCAGATATCAGAGGAATATCAAAGAATCTTTATCAGATATCAGAGGAATATCAAAGACTCTTTATCAGATATCAGAGGAATATCAAAGAATCTTTATCAGATATCAGAGGAATATCAAAGACTCTTTATCAGATATCAGAGGAATATCAAAGACTCTTTATCAGATATCAGAGGAATATCAAAATGCAAGCAGCGTTCGCCCTCCCATTGACCTACACGTAGCTAGGACCGATAATGCATCGAACGCTCTCGCGGAAGTGTCGCCATGATGCCTTCCAGCAGCAGCAGCAGCCGACGGCGGCGGCGGCGGCGGCGCTGGGAGGACGATGTGCTGTTGTGTTGAATCAATGCCTTCCAACTTCCCAAAGGAATACGCAGCAAGAGCTACATCACGAGCGCTGTACACAGAGGATGGATTAGCCATCGACAACACTGCTAACGGATCGCTATCCTCTGGGGCCTGACAATAATACAAATCGATCACCCGATCGATATTAACATCACTACCAGTGTCAGAGCCTTCAATGCATCTTCCCCCGCTCTACTAAGCCTATCTGCAATCGCTTCGAAAATTGGCTCGTACACCAAGTTCAACCTAAGGCGGCACCAACAAATTTCCCATGTCGATTTATTCATCATCATCTCATCACTGAAACCCTATCCACGAAAGAGGACTCTCTCAACAATGTCGGTTCCCGAGAACTCAAAAAGGAAACTTTATGCATATCTACATTTCCAACCCAACGATAAACAATATTACCGTGCAAAACTAGAACAGTGCAGACACAGCTGCTGAGGCGTGAAATCGTCGATCTTCATCAGACTCGTTTCAGCCAATGCCTTCAATGGTGCCTCCAAATGCCTCGTCCTTGTCGAGGCATATGCATCGAGTAGCCTGACGACACATATGCGATCATCACCTCGGATGATGACCAGAGCCTCACCTCGCTAGGGCTTCCGCGTCACACAAATTTATCGTTTTCACAACACGATCTGACATCTCTTCAGTGAATCGATCAGTCAAGAATCCGAGTTGAGCCCATGATGTACACACCCTGGATATCCAAGCTATAAGCACACAAGATACGGAATAGGTCCGTTCCTACTTTGCTAGTTCAGGAGCGGTCCAGCTATCCATATCCATCACTATCGTATGCTTCAGTCGCTGGAACAGGTATATGTGTTTCCGATGGATTTTTGCAAAGTTTTCCAGTATTTCGAGAATCGACGTTTTGTCTCGGACGTTAGCCATCGCGGGCACCGACTTATACTTCCGCCAAAATTTCTGAAAAAAAATGTCAAACAACATCAAACAACCACATGAATAAATACGATACACACATGGAAGACGACGATGTAGCAAATATAATGCAAAGTAAAACATGTGTTCAAACGAGTCCGAGATGTTGGACCTGGGATTCGAACCTACGACCGACTCCACCCTATAGTCACAAGTGGTGAATTCTATGAGTAATTTTCAGTGAGCTCTATCGTGATGATATACTTCTTCCCAGTAATACAAGATCCCCTCACTACCATGTCGAGGGGATACTTATCCGCAGCCTTCCTGATGAGCTGTTGAATACTCGGGCTCACTCCTTCTAACATGTTCTGACTAATGCCCGATACGACACAGTTCGCGTCTCCTAAAAACAACACAGTTTAACCTGATTCCATCACACTTCATTCATTGAAGTTCATTATGTCCATCAAACGGCATGCGAAGAGAACACAGATACGTCGAGTCGCGGACTCATTCCTTATTATCAGTAAGATTCGCAAAAGGAATGGTATTACTTTTGTCATCTCGCCAAGCTGCCGAGTACTGCTGCTTGAGGGCGTAGTCACTGAAAACGAGACATCTAGGTCTGTCAAGCCTGCAACCCCTTAGAGCGGATCACAACGAGTCAAGGATTACCTGTTGGATGTGGTAGGGAGGGTAGGGAATGTATTGTCCTCACGATGCAGTCCTGGTGGTGATCCCGTACCTACGACTGTCTATCGCTCAAAGTTGACTCCGAGATGGATCATTATGAAACTATATGGAAAGTGAAAGCGGATGGATCATGCTGATAGAGATTCGCGAGATGAACAAGGCCACACATTACATGATATTCTCGGGCGTGGTCAGAATCCGAAGCATCGCTTTAACAATCGATATACTACTAAGGTACCGAATCACAGTACGAAAGATATCACGCGAGTTCCAAAGTGATTCTACGGTACGGCTGCCTGGATCAGTCTGAGCACTGAGCTCCTCCGAAGTATGCACAATACGAGAAAAGAACCCACGACCTTACGATACCTCGATTACACCCCCACCCACTAGACCATAATGACTCACTACATGTCAGCTTATTAGAGAGACACGGCTCGTTCCTGTCATTCAATGCTCGAGCAAGGTTCTCTATCGCATAAATACGTGAACGATGAAACATGAATGGAAGAAATAACAACTGGGATTGAGACAGGCGGCCTATCTAACACCTCCCATTCGTGCTTTGCTATCGAGTGTTTCGGCTCAAGACGGCTACAACAGCCTATCAACAAAATGACGCCGCGTAGAGCTGCCTATGGAGCAAGCCTGCTGTAAGTCAACATGCCCTCACTACGGAGACCCAGGTTTTGCCAACTCGCCAAACTTGGCAGAACTACTTTTTGCTTGGCCAAATCTAAATTTGGCAAAATGCGGTACAGACCCCTCCGTAGACGGGAAAACACCAACTCAGGAAAAATACCAACCGAATTCCACAAAATTTTCTGCTAATGGCGCTTCGCCAAGCTTTGAAATGCGCTCGCCCGTACGCGGAAACCTGTCCCCTGTACCAGATTATGCCAAGATGATGTTGGTGATTTGAAATCACTGATTTCTGCGGAGCACCAGGTTTCGCCAACTCACCAACTTTGGCGATTCCTTGTTTCTAGGAAATTTAAGCAATTTGGCGATATGCGTGATACGGCCAGGATTTTACGGGATTTCGCCAAGCTGGTCGGCTCGCCGTATAGAATTCAGCGCATCCGCTGAAATCTGCACGGAATCGTCCGCCAAGTCCGCTCGCCGAAGTGATCTATTCTGCGCTTGGATCCAGGTTTTGGCAACCTTGGGTCGCTGGAATCTGCGCCAGGCCGGGGAATCGCCAAAAATTTGGTGAAACTCGCAGGTTTGGCCAAGACTATGACGTGTTTTGCCTAATCTTTGGCGTAATACCGGTGAAATGCAGATTTCACCGAGAGTTGGCGATATGCCGCTAGGTATATGCTGAGGCGTTCGAATACGGTATGTATTACAGATATCGCCAATTGAGGTGCTCAAATCTGTTACTGACACTGATAGTGCCAACTTCGGCCCTTGAAACCTGCATGCTGTAAAGGACTGCGGAGGCTTGTCAGTTTCACTCTGCTTCTCGGCTTGCGCTCCCCGGACACTTCTCTTACGGTAAGAGTCTTACCTGCTATACTTTACAAGCAGGTTGTTAGGTTAGTTAGCCGAGCAGCGTGGCTAAGTCAGCTCTTGAGCGGTCGTCCCGGGGTCAAGAATAAGGGGAGGCACTTCTTCGCCGAATATTCAACTACGTATGCTCATACGTTGCGCGCTCACATTGACTAACAATTATCTAGTAAGCCATCAGACTGTTACGCGTACATGTGTTCTGCGGAGGTTTGTCCACTAGTGCGTATATCATGAGATTTTTATAATAATAATAATATCATTATAATGCAGGTTAAGGGCTCGAGCACTAGCATGAGCTCATGTCACGACTGTTCGAGAATGCGGCTCGAAGTTACCGCACTTTCTATCTCCTTTCACGTCGTGAACTTCATGACTTCACTCACTACGCAACACAACAAGCAATTCATTCGGAAACGATCAAAGAAACTCATCGTTGCTGTCATCTTGTCACTGTTGTATCTAACTAGGCAAGCAGCTTACAGAAAACACAGAAACTTCCATAATATGGAAGTTTCTGTGTTTCTGTTTTCTGTTTCCCCTGGAATCCATATCAGTCCCTTACCTTGCGACAGCGTTCCGTGATTAAGCAGTACTGCTTTCAAATCTATCATACTACCCCTAAGGTTAGCCAAAAGGTCAGCGTAATAATCAGTGCTACACAACCTATAGACTGTGACACCACCCATCGGGTTAGTCACGAGGTCTCGAAGCCCGATCATAATGAATACTGCTTCCAAATCTACCATACTATTGATTTGCGCCGGTCCTATTGATCGATGACATCGATTTGAGATCGTCCAAGGCGGCCGAATCCGAGTATTTTAGAATGTTTTTGATCGATTCGAGTAATTAAATACCCTCCGACTTGAAGGTTCCGAGTATAGAACACCCGACCTCCCGATCTGCGGCACGGACCTCGAACCACTCCACCATAGTTCTTACAAAAAATGGGATGTCATCATCGCAGCCAATCGAGGACCTTTCTTCGTCTGACATGCTTTAACGACCTGGAATTGGCGAAACCTGTAAGGTGTAGGTATTGGCGAAACAGGGTTCAGTACCGTCTTACACCAACAAGGAACTTGGCCAAACCCTGCGTATCCCGGACTTCACCAACTTTGGCAAAACCCGTATGTCGCAACAACTATGTGGCGAAATTTTTCGCTATGCCTGGTATTTCGCCAAATTGTTCGAATCTGTCCCTGCCATTATATTGCCTAACAAACATGTCCAAGAGTCTTGAAACCCGTTAGGTGTCATTTTGGCGAAATCCGGGTTGGCGAAACCTGTATCACCCTTCTGCTTGATCAACAGGAGCGGACGACTTTTCTCAAAAAATTGAGCGAAATGAAAGTTTTCTGGTAAACTTTGGCGAATCCTACAAGTTGTA